CGGAGGCGGTGCAGCTTTGGTTCGACTTCAGCCACGATCAGGTACTGCTTTTGCACTTTGCGTCTTGTAGCAAGGGGCTGTTTGGATGCATTTAGAAAACTAGAGTATTTATGACACAAATTAGAAAGTGGCTATCCAACTCATCATTTCCATTCGAGTGTTTACATTGTTTGGTTAGGAATCTTTGTGAATCCTAAAATAATAGTATTATATTGTTTGGATAGTATAATGTAAACTAGAGTATTTATGACACAAAATGGAAAGTGATTATCCACCTCATCACTTTCTACAAGGTTTTGACTTTTTTATTATTATTTTAGACACATTTACTACATTGTGTCAGCTTTCCAACAAAATCACTCGGAGGCGGTGCAGCTTTGGTTCGACTTCAGCCACGATCAGGTACTGCTTTTGCACTTTGCGTCTTGTAGCAAGGGGCTGTTTGGATGCATTTAGAAAACTAGAGTATTTATGACACAAATTAGAAAGTGGCTATCCAACTCATCATTTCCATTCGAGTGTTTACATTGTTTGGTTAGGAATCTTTGTGAATCCTAAAATAATAGTATTATATTGTTTGGATAGTATAATGTAAACTAGAGTATTTATGACACAAAATGGAAAGTGATTATCCACCTCATCACTTTCTACAAGGTTTTGACTTTTTTATTATTATTTTAGACACATTTATGATATTGTGTCAGCTTTCCAACAAAATCACTCCTAATTTTGGTGATTTTGCTTTCAGTGACACATCATCAAAATGTGTAAGCTTTTCATGTAAAAGAGAATTTAAACAAACAATGTAAAATGATGAAAACTGACATTAGGACCCACTTTTTTACACTTTCCATCCTTTTACATGGTAAAAACATACAACCACACAGCCCCTTGGATACTTGCAATTATGGCTTTATGTAGTTGTTTGGTTGGCATTTTTTGTCCTTGTTTCCCTGTCAAAACTGACAAAAGTTATTAGTTTTGACAACTTTACTTGCAAAAACGTCCTAAAATGTGCGTTTTTATAAGTAAAGTTGTCAAAACTGATAGCTTGTCAGTTTTGACAGGGAAACCCAAACAAAAAAAACCAACCAAACAGCCCTTAGGACGTATTAACTTTGGGGTTTTTTTTTTTTGAAAAATTTAGCATAAGTTTTGAATATGTGAGAAATTTCTTGAGTTTTATTGATAACAAACTTTGATACAAATGAAGTAGATAATTTGATATAAATTATGATTTGAGCAATGCTTTCATATTAGGGTGTGTTTGGCAACTTCAGAAAACTAGTTTTAATGGACACAAGTGTGGTCCAAAAAATTCACCAAAAAAGTTCACCGTCGGTGATCCGAGAGGTTCTAGTATGACTTCTATGGTCTTTGCGCGGTCCAAAAAATTGTTTTTAGTTTGAAGAAACTTGGACCAAATCCGGACTAGTTTTTTTTAGTTTAAATTATAGCACTTGAACTAGTTTTTTTTACTAGCCCTTATATGGACCAACTATAGTCTAATTAAGCAACAGATAGTCCAAACTCAATTTTATTTTGAAATTTCCAAATACATCTGAGTTTATGAAAGAATATCAGAGTTAATCAGAACAAAGTTTTATTGTATGCACGTTTGTAAGGAAAATTACAATAAAATAATACCTAGACTAAGAACTCAAAAATTGGCTCTTTTTTGTTACTCATTTAAGAGAGTCCATTAAAATACGATATATTTGGTAGCTCCGACGTGGTGACAGAGACTTCAAAGAATATCAAAGTCTTTGCAATGTACAGGAGCTATAAAAATATTACTCATGCATATTGCAGAGACTTTAATACTCTACAAAGTCTTTGTCACTACATCAGAGACAGCCATGAAAGTATAGTAAGGAGATTGATTAAAGTCTCTGCAATATTCACGAGTTATATTTATGAAGACTCTTCAAATATGTCGATCCAGTTAGGATAATGATATGGATACTTTTGTAGCCGGTTTGGTTAACAGGAGATGAGTCAATGAGTTACAGTAGCAAATGCTGCAATTTGATTTCTATTTTCGATATTTGGTTAGCAATTAATATTTTCGAAATTTAATTACACTTCCATTTTGTAGAAATAAGTTATAGCGTTTGACTGCGACACTACTGCTGTTCCATTAAACAAAATTAAAATTGAAATACTATTGCCATGGTCCTTAACTTTGTGAGGCCAAACTCATGAACTGTAAATTTTATTTTACAACTATAGCTAAACAGACGCTTGACAGAGAAATATTTTTTAGAACAAAATATGTAAAACCACATCTTTTGGCAACTAATCAAATGCCAAGCCCCTATTTAAAAATACATTTTTATGAAGGATTTTGATCCTCTCCACCATAAAAGAAGTGGAGAGATCACTACTATATCACAATTTTTTTTGTTGGGTGGTTCTGATTTGTCTTTGAGTGTAAATTAGGAAATGAATGCAAATCATAGGGGTATTATGAGTGTTATATTTGAAATGAATCATGATCGTGTACTAGAAAATAAACATCTATGATTAATGTAGTGGTTTTGATAGTGGAGAGGATCCAAATTCTCAACAAAATGTATATATCCAAGCGTACATATCAGTTTGCACACAATAAAAAAGATTTTCTGCAAAATAAAACACAGCAGCAGGGGAATTAAATGCAAAATTCAAAATTTTTTTCTCCAGTTGTTCGCCTACTTGCTGCTGTCGGCGGAGGCGTCAGGCACCGGAGAGGCGCGAAACCTGAGGAGAGGAGACACTTGTACGGTGGAGAACGCGTTCTGCGTACAAGCCTACATATCGGTCGCTTTAGGATTCGTGGGCTTTGTTTTCTTGGCATTTTCAGCTCTCATCTCTGGCTACAGGCTCATTTCCTATCTCATCACTGGGTCTCGTTTTCATCTCTGAGCTAAATTTTTTACAAAAAATTCCCAAAAATTTTCCCCCCTGTTTAGATTCATGTAGTGTTAAAAGAAATCTGTGTAATTATATTCTGTAATCTCTTTGTCGTAATCAATCGTCGGAATGTTGTTACTATTTAGAAGCTGCATTGTCGCATTGGTATGCTCTTCCTCGAGTTTAGCTTACCGCTTTTTTTAAAATTTTCCTCAAAATTTTCCACAATTAGAAAATGTCAATTACACGTTAATACAAAAGTAATGATCAAACTATAGCCAATAGAAAATGTAATACTGATCAATCCAGTGTGATAATTTTTTCCACAGAAGACTGCCGTCACTACTATGAACTGGATATAAAACCTCGCATAAACAAACACAAACCGACTAAAAATCAACAAAACCAAATCCCTCCTTCAACGCAGCCTATTTAAAATGAATCCCAAGAACATGACATAAATAAATTTATCCTATATTATCCAGATCAAAATGCCAAATTGGCCGTCTTGTCACGGTGCAGGTCTCAACATGGCCGTTACTTAAAATAAAGGGAAAATTGGTTCTAGCCTCCAAAATGAGTCCGAGTGTCCCCTCCCGGCCCGGACTTTGTCAACGGTCCCTTCACCCCAAAAAACACTTGTGATTTTCATCTAGACCCCGGGACTTTGTCAATGGTCCTTTCGCCCCAAAAACACTCCTGATTTTCCTCTAGCCCCCAAAACACCCCCCACATGAAACGTTGTTTAAAACCAACGTGATCTTCTCAAAATACCCTCATACAGCCCGTCACCCTATCAAGCGGAAATTCGGGAATAGTACTGTAGCATTAATTGATGATTAGAATGTGGTTTTGTTCCCTCTAAATTATTACCATATCTATTCCCCCTCCCGCAATAAAACCATCTCCTCCCCGTTTGCTTACCCAACTACTCCCGGCCACTTAATTCTCCTCATTAATTTCTCTTCGATCTTTCAACTACTCTTGTTTAAAATGACGGATGGATCACTTTTTTGCATGATGACAAACGCAAAAAGCAATGAAGACGGTGACAGTGTCTTTATAGTTATCAAAGGGACTACAAAAATCGTTAGCTTGAAATATCAAGTGTCACAAAGGCTTAAAATACCAATGTAATCTCTTTCACTAAAATTCATATGTGAAAGGGAAAAGAAATTCAGTATTTCAATTGTTAATGACGAGAACTTGAGTTTGATGTTCGAGTATTGTCGTCGTAATGGATTTACAAACGTAAACTTGTATGCTACATCCGCTGGGAAATCCTCAACTTCTCAGAACACCCAAACTACTCCTGAAAATGTGTAAGCATTTCACTTATAATTTCCGTATGAGTTCACTGATAGGTTATGAGTTGGTTGTTAACCTTATGCATTGATTGCTGAGGTTATGAGTTGGACGATAAAGTTACGGACTGGTTGTTAAGGTTATGTGTTGTTTGCCTGATTTTATGAGATGGTTTTAAGTTTGTTGCTAAGGTTATGAGCTCGCTATTACGTATACGAGTTGGTTGCTATAGTAATATGTTTGGTGTTAAGTATACGAGTTTGTTGTTGAGGTTACGAGTCCGTTGTTAAGATTAAGGGTTCGTTGTTAAGGTTATGTGTCAGCTGTTAAGGTTAAGAGTTCGTTGTTAAGGTTAAGACTTCTTCGTTAAGGTTATATGTCGGATGTTAAGGTTATGAGTTTGTTGTTAAGATTAAGACTTCGTTGTTAAGGTTATGTGTCGGCTGTTAAGGTTAGGAGTTCGTTGTTGTGGTTATAATTTTTTGTTAACCTTATAAAGTATATCTTCCTTTTTGTTAGCCTTATGTGCTGGTTGCTAAAATATTAATGTATTTTTTTTACTTCTACAAGACTATCCCGACAGAAAATTCCTGATGCGCAGCTGCCATGCTCACCCAAACATGTAATGATGAGCGTATTCCTATTGACAATCTCACTAGCGACTCGATCATGCTGCTGGAAGACATGATTAACAACCAAACCAAGATCCCAGCTGAGTGGCACACGGTCATACGTGAAATTGGTCAGAAATTTGATAGTGCTGCTGAAGTTAGATTAGCTCTTCAATACTATTCAATTGCGAAATGGTTCGAGTATGGTTTTTACCATATATGAACAAAGACGTATAAGAGTCTATTGTCGATTCAAGAACACGCATGGTTGCCCTTGGATGTTGTTTTCTTCTCCACTCAGAAATTCGTCGATTATGTCTATAAAGAATTTTATTCTACCCACACTTGCGGTCAACACAGAGCTAATGCTGGCAACTCAAGGGCATCAAGAAAGTTCATTATAGTCCAAATACAATTTGTTTTGAAGGTTAGGCCAGATCTTCGTGCAGTTGATATCAAGAACACATGCTATCAAATTATGGAATCAAGATTAACTACAGTAAAGCATGGAAAAGCAAAGAGATAGCTCAACAGGACCTGTTCGGTGACGATGATGAGGCTTATGATTCACTGAGATGATACATTTTTTTATTCTTATGTTTTTGTTGTGAAGGTTTAGTATTGGTTGCCAACCTTATGTATTACTTGCGAATATTATGTATTGGTTGCTAACCATACGTATTAGTTGTTAAGATTATTGGTTGGTTGTTAAGTATACTTGTTGGTTGTTAAGGTTAAAGATTAGTTGTTATGATCATGAATCTGTTGCTAAGGTTACTGTTTTGTTGTTATAATTATGTAGGTATGAAGCCATGGGTCATGTAACTAATCCAGGAAGTCGTGTTGCTATTGATGCTAATGATGGAAGGTTTAGGCGTTTATTCATAAGTTATAATGCCTGTATTGAAGGGTTCGTTATTGGGTATAAACCTCTCTTATTTTTGCATGGTGACAAACACAAAAAACAACAAAGACGGTGATGGTGTCTTCATAGTTATTAAAGGAACTATAGAAATCGTTAGCTTAAAATATCTAGTGTCATAAAGGCTTAAAATACCAATGCAATCTCTTTCACTAAAATTCATATGCGAAAGGGAAAAGAAATTCGGTATTTTAATTGATAATGACGAGAACTTGAGTTTGATGTTCGAGTATTATCGTCGTAATGGATTTACAGACATAAACTTGTATACTACATCTGCTGGGGAATCCTCAACATCTCAGAACACCCAAACTACTCCTGAAAATGTGTAAGCATTTCACTTATAATTTCCTTATGAGTTCACTGATAGATTATGAGTTGGTTGTTAACTTTATGCATTGGTTGCTGAGGTTATGAGTTGGACGACAAAGTTACAGACTGGTTGTTAAGGTTATGTGTTGTTTGCTTGATTTTATGAGATGGTTTTAAGTTTGTTGCTAAGGTTATAAGTTCGTTGTTTCGTATACAAGTTAGTTGCTATGGTTATGCATTTGGTGTTAAGCATACGAGTTTGTTGTTGAGGTTACGAGTCCGTTGTTAAGATTAATGGTTAGTTGTTAAGGTTATGTGTCAGTTGTTAAGGTTAGGAGTTCATTGTTAATGTTAAGTCTTCGTTGTTAAGGTTATGTGTCGGCTGTTAAGGTTAGGAGTTTGTTGTTAAGATTAAGACTTTGTTGTTAAGGTTATGTGTCGGCTGTTAATGTTAGGAGTTCGTTCTTGTGGTTATAATTTTTTTGTTAACCTTATAAAGTATATCTTCCTTTTTGTTAGCCTTATGTGCTGGTTGCTAAGATATTAATGTATTTTTTTACTTCTACAGGACTATCCCAACAGAAAATTCCCGATACGTAGCTGCCACGCTTATCCAAACATGTAATGATAAGTGTATTCCTAATGACAATCCCACTGGTGACTCGATCATGCTGCTAGAAGACAGGATTAACAACCAAACCAAGATCCCAGCTGAGTGGCACGCGGTCATACGTGAAATTGGTTAGAAATTTTATAGTGCTGCTAAAGTTAGATTAGCTCTTCAATACTATTCAATTGTGAAATGGTTCGAGTACGATTTTTACCATAATGAACAAAGACGTATAAGAGTCTATTGTCGATTCAAGCACACGCATGGTTACACTTGGATGTTGTTTGCTTCCCCACTCAGAAATTCATCGATTATGTCTATAAAGAATTTTGTTCTACCCACACTTGCGGTCAACACGGAGCTAATGCTGGCAACTCAAGGGCATCAAGAAAGTTCATTACAGTCTAAGTACAATTTGTTTTGAATGTTAGACCAGATCTTCGTGCAGTTGATATCAAGAACACATGCTATCAAATTATGGAATCAATATTAACTACAATAAAGGGTGGAAAAGCAAAGAGATAGCTCAACAGGACATGTTCAGTGACGATGATAAGGCTTACGATTCACTGAGATGGTATATTTTTTATTCTTATATTTTTATTGTGAAGGTTTAGTATTGGTTGCCGACCTTATGTATTACTTGCAAAGGTTATGTATTGGTTGCTAACCATACGTATTAGTTATTAAGGTTATTGGTTGTTTGTTAAGTATACTTATTGGTTGTTAATATTAAAGATTAGTTGTTATGGTTATGAATCTGTTGCTAATGTTACTCTTTTGTTGTTATATTTATGTAGGTATGAAGTCATGGTTCATGCAACTAATCCAAGAAGTCGTGTTGCTATTGACGCTAATGACGGAAGGTTTAGGCATTTGTTCATAAGTTATAATGCCTGTATTGAAGGGTTCGTTGTTGGGTGTAGGTCTCTCTTATTTTTTGATGGAACATTTCTTAAAGATTGCTACAAAGGTATACTACTTAATGTCACAGGATATGACGACAACCAAGGAATATTTCCTCTTGCTTATTGTGTATGCGACCAAGAGAATAATGATAATTGGAAATGGTTCTTACAAGGATTATGAACGATACTTTATGATAGGGAAAAGCCTTACAATCCTCCACATCAACTGGTAATTATTTTCAATGCCGACAAGGGTATTAAGGTAGCAGTTGAGGAATTCTTTTCAGATGCTTTCCATTCAAGGTGTGTTCTGCATCTAGTCAAGAATTTCAAAAAAAAGATAAAGGATTTTGGACACAAGGCAAATGACGCTCAGATTTTGGGTGATTTGTTACAAACTGTGGCTTATAAGTACACAATTTCTGAATAGGATGATTACATAAAAGAATTGGCATCGATCGATCATAGGGCTTATATTACTACAATGGAATACTCCCTGGAGAGATGTGAAAACTCTTATTTTTCTGGTATAAGGTATGATAACTTTGTATAAACGTTATTTGTTAATGCTACATTTTAGTTGTTAAGGTTATAGTTAGTTTGCAAATTTGTTGTTAAGGTTAGGTTTTGGTTGTTAATGTTAGAGTTTTGTTGTTAAGTTTACACTTTCGTTGTTAAGTTTATTTTTGGTTGTTAATGTTACTTCTAACATTGCAGATATGGTCATGTTACTTCAAACATTGCCGAGTCCTTCAAAAGCTGGATAAGAAAGGCATGAATGTTATGAATCCTACCTTTGGTGGAGACGACACGAAAGCAAATCATGGAGCGCATGTATGAAAGAAGGCTTATGGCAGCGAATTGGTCTAGATACTTATGTCCAGAAGCGGAGATGGTGTTGAGTGAGAATATTCATCATGGTAGTTGCTTGGCCATTAAACACTCGACATAAGATATTGTGGAGGTCGAATCTAATAAAATTTGTCGTGTAGTTTTGAAAAATCGGGCATGTTCATGCAGGTCTTGGGATATCATCCGCATTCCTTACAAACATGCGTGCGCTGTAATTATTTAGATGTGATGAGATATTTATCAATATTAGGATTGGTTTATGACTATTGAAGCTTTCAGAGTAAGTTATGCACCAATCCTCTTTCCTATCTCAGATTACGAGAAACGCTTTGTACCGCCAGAAGACCGATTATTAAAGCCTCCCCTTACAAAAAAAGGTGTGGAAGACCATGTACTAGATGAATAAATAACAGATCACTGAACACACATCTTGTTAAGTGCTCTCGATGTCATATGGAGGGTCACAATCGTCAAACTTGTAACGAGCCTATATAGTTGCTAAACAAATGTATTTCTTAGTAACGTTTTATATTTGTAGTTAACAATATATAATATTGGATGATACCCTTTTAAAATGACTGTTATAATTTAGGCTATTGATTGGTTGTTAAGGTTATGGCTTGGTTATCAATGTTATGTTTTGGTTGTTAATGTTATGGCTTGGTTGTAAGGATTACGGATTTATTATTAAGTTTAACATTTTATTTTTAAGGTTATAGCTTGGTTGTCAAAGTTATTGTTTGGTTGTCAAGGTTATGGCTTGGTTGTTAATATTTACATATTTGCATTCAAAAAAATTCGCGCTTAGCCGTTATAATTAAGGCTATTGATTGGTTGTCAAGGGTTACAAATTTATTCTTAAGTTTAATGTTTTATTGTTAAGGTTATGGCTTGGTTGTCAATGTTATTGTTTGGTTGTCAAGGTTATAGCTTGGCTGTTAATATTTATATATCTGCATTCAAAAAAATTCGCGCATGGCCGTTATAGTTATGACTATTGATTGGTTATCAAGGTTATGGTTTGGTTGTAAGAGTTATGGATTTATTGTTAAATTTAACATTTTATTGTTAAGGTTATGGCTTGGTTGTCAATGTTACTGTTTGGTTGTCAAGGTTATGACTTGGTTGTTAATTCGCGCTTGGTTGTCAAGGTTACCGAGAGAATTTTTTCTCCTCATGCCTTCAATGCATTTCACAGTAACGTTTGTTCCTAAGACATGAAAGTTATGATCACCTTTCTCCTCTCTATTCCCGCCTGCCATGAGGCAATCTCCATCATCCCTTTACT